GTCGGGGCCGGCACCCCAGGGCCCGAGCCAACCCAGGCTGGAGCCGCGGGGGGACCAGCCTGGGCCGCGCCTCCTCCCCCCGCCCCCCTTACCTGCTTCAGGCTTCCCGCGAATTAAATGTTCGCGGGAAGCAGGGGAGGGGGCGGAGACTTTGGGAGGGGGCGGAGTTGGGGCGGGGGCGTGGCTGGGGCCGGGGCCCCGGGGGGTGTCCTCCATTTGGAGGCACAAAATATGGTAACCCTACCCTGGCCTGTCCCAGGGCCCTTGTTCTAGAGCCCAAGATCCTGGTGCTGTCCCACAACATTCCCTCCCGGCTCTTCCAGCAGTGGAGCTACAAGGTGCTGGCTGTGCCCAGCAGGCACCTGGGCTACGACACCTCGCGCGAGGAGCCAATTGAGACCATCACTGGTGAGTGCCTGGCGATGCTCCTGAAACTGGGGATGCACCTGCTGAAATACCCCAAGGTAAGGCCCAGGAGGCACTGCTAGTGACCCCTAATGCAGGTGGGCAGCTTGGGGGGTCTGTCGTGCCCCATCTCTAGCCAAATATTTGGGATGCCCCCACATACAGGGTGGTGCTGCCTTTGGACTTATAGGTCTTCGCTGACCTGTCTAGCCACTTTCAATTCCATCATCTAGAGCAGGAGCGGCCCAGCTCACCACAGGTGGGCACGCTCGGTGGGTGGCGGAACGGTCAGTTGAGTTCTCCCGCTGGCTGTGGCAGGCGTGATTTTCCTCTGGCATTGAGTGGCTGAGGGCTTTCTTGCCTCTTCTGATTTCCAGAGCCCCCCAAACCTCCCTGATGCCGTTCTGGAGGAGGTCCCCAACTTAATTGTTCCCCAGGACACCATCTGCCACCTCCTGGAGTGCCGGGAGCTCCTGAGCCCTGCGCAGTTCCTGCAGGCCTACGATTCCCCCTTGAACGTTGTCATGGACTCAGGTATGTTCTTGCGTGCTGCGGTGCGGGGATGCACAACTTGTGTCCAAGGGCTCAAAGCTTGTTCTCCGCCAGCGGCGTTGTGACTGTGAATGTCTCCTGGATGTAGGGAAATCAGAACCAGCAAACCAGCCTCCGTGAGGATGAAAACAGCCCTATGAGCTCTGCTCCAGAGTTTGTCAATCTCTGCCTCGGCACTTGGATGCAGCAGGGACAGGGGCTGCTGAAGGCCAGTGACAGATTTCCACTGCAAGGGGCAGAGAGAATTGCTTGCACTGTAGGTTTCATCGTGATCTTTCTCTCTCCCAAGTTTTCTAGTGTCTTTTACAGAGCATTGGCCCACTGGCCTTAGTGCCAGCTGGTCTTAGCTCTGTTGCACACTCCCCGCCAGGTGACAGAGCAGCTTTCCTTCCTCCTGGGCTGCAGGGTCCAAGCCATCGCTGGGCAGTGGGGGCTGAGGGCTGCGCAGCCGCTGCCTGGGCTGCAGCCCTGCTGGGCTGGGACTTGCCGGGATTCCTCTGTCCCAGCTCCCAGCCTGGTGCAGGGACTGTAAGGCGGTAACTTGTGCCTCCTCAGCTGGTTCGGTCCCTGGTGCGGGATAGAGCAGCGGCGAGGGCTGCTCTATTTTGAGCCATTGCACTACCACAGGGAACTGGTCAAAGCTGCAAGTAGGAACTGGGCACTGAAATGCCCTTCGCCTTTGAGGCTCTGCCATGCCCATCCCCACCCTAGGAGATATTTGGGGCAGAGGACCACCCTGGCCATGCCCACTCCTGCCTGCACATGCCACGTGAAGCTGGGGGCTCTCATAGGCTATACTGGCTCAGCACCCCCACTTCTAAGCTAGAGGTACGCTGTGTGAGCCTTGGGGATGCTTTGCAGCTACTTGCCATTGGCTCCAGAGCGGGCACAATGCAAGCAGGAATTAGCCTCTTGGGCTCCAGGCCTGCTGAGCTTGCACCTTCCACCGGTGCTAAACGGAGATGACACCACACGCAGCCTGGCCGCTCACTGCCATAGTGCAAACCCAAAGCGCTGCACGAGCTGATGCGCCGAGCCCAGGGATGGAGCTGGGATTTCTTCTGGGCAGGCGGATTAGCGGCACGGAGCTAGCTCGTAAGCTGGCCAGGGCAGGATCTGTCTCTCACCACGTGTCTGTGCAGCACAGCGGGGCGAGGGGTGCTGGGCAACTCACCTCGCTGCATTTTGGGCAGCAGCTCTCTGGCACCAGCTGATGAGTCGGATCTTCCCGAGTCCCTCCCTCCGATGTGTTTCCTGACGCTTCCACGAGAGGGGGTCGGACGTGAAGGCTTCAGTGGGCGCTGGCGCGGGGACCCAGGCATGATCACACCCCGCATGCAGACTCTGCTGCTTGATCCCGGAGAAAGCCCGTTCCCGAGGCAGCTGCTTGGGAGAACAGCAGCCACGGGCACGCCTGAGCCGTGGGCTCTCCCCTGGGGAGTGCTGCGTGTTCAGGCAGAACGGAGCTCAGATCTGCCAGGCAGAGCTGGTAACGAGGCCCAAGAAGGCCTCTCCCCGCCCCGGGCAGGAGTGTTACTATTTGTATTGCTCAAGTGCCTCCGATCCCCAGCCACTGGCCGGGCCCTTCGAGCGTTCTGTCGCCCAGTGCCGGGGCCGGTCTGGGCAATCCACCCCGCCCAGAGGAGGCTGCGCCACAGGAGCGTAATAGCTAGGAAACTTTCTCTGATGTTCAGCTTAAATCGGCCTTGCCTCAGATTCATTCCCACCCGCCCCTTTCCTCTGCTAAATAACGCCTCCCACGCCCGGCTCCGTGCCTTTCCCATTCACGGGCACTGCTGCAGCCCTCCTTTGTCCAGGGTGAGTCAAGCATGCCCGGCGACTGGGGCGGTAACTTGGCCAGTGCTCTGGGGCACCCGGAAAGAGTACAGGGACATTGTCCCCTACACAGAAATGCACAGAGGGAATGAGGGTCTGACTGGCTGGGGGATGGGTTTCGTACCTCCCGCATAAGGGAGGAAAGGCGGAAGCTGTTGCATAATGGGCCCAGCTCTTCAGCGGGAGAGGGGCCCGCGCTCACCGTCATTGGGGCGACTGGGCAGCTGGGGTGTGGCTGGGGGCCGCGCTGTTAGGATCGAGGCCGGTGTGCAGTTTGGACTGGAACATTTCCATCGGTTGGGGCATTGGGCCAGATCCTGCTCACTTACACTGGTGTAAATCAGGACTCGTTCCTGTCACATCAGTGCTGTTCCTATGTCACGCTCTGGAAGGCAGAGGAGAAGCTGGGCCAGTTTTTTCATAGATTCCACGGCCAGAAGGAACCAGCGTGATTATGTCGTCTGACCCCCTGTGTAACACAGACCAGAGAATGCCCCTGAATTATTTCCTGTTTGAACTAGAGCAGAGCTTTTAGAAACAATCAGCCAATCCGGATTTCAACATGGTCAGGGACGGAGAATCCACCACGCCCCGGGGTAAATTGTCCCAGTGGTTAATTACCTTCACTGGTAAAACTTTACACCCTATTTCCAGCCTCAATTTGTCTAGCTTCAACTTCCAGCTGTTGGATCGCGCCAGACCTTTCTCTGCTGGATTGAAGAGCCCAGTATTAAATACTTGCTACCCCTGCAGATTTTTATAGATTGTGATCAAGTCACCCCTTAACCTTCTCTCTGTTAAATTAACTAGATCGAGCTCCTTGAGTCTCTCACTATAAAGCAGGTTTTCTAATCCTTTAATCATTCTTGTGGCTCTTCTCTGAGCCCTCTCCAATTTAACAGCATCCTTCTTGAATTATGGGCACCAGAACTGGACACAGGACTTATAGTTTATAGCTCAGAGACAAACGTTCTGGTCCTGGGTTTGGGAGCAGCGGGGAAGGAGCACGGGACTGATGGGAAATAAAGTGGTGTTCCCTCAAAACTGAAGGGGCACTGCTGTGAGGAAGTTCACAGCAGTTCATGTTCCAAAAAAGGCGAGTTTTCTGCATCCGTAACCAGCATGTGATAACCAAGGAGAACCCTAGAAGGGGTGGGATTGAAAGCAGAGTCCAAGCCGGGATTACATCTAGTTCCTTTTGCTTAAAGGGCACGTGTTTGGAAGTGACAACCCGTATGCTGTGTAAGTTTCTTTGCAACCCAAAGGTACAGTAAGCTGTTCACGGGGACATGCATGTTGGGCTTTGCATGCTGCTTGTCAGTGCATGGTCATGCAGAGGCACAGGCTGTCCTGCCCTGTAGCTGTTGGTAGAACCTCGGCTGAAATAAAACCCACCTCGCCTAATCACCACTGTAGAACCCCAGCCCTTTCGGTCACGCTAACAGCTCGATTCACCCGGCTGAGAGTGTCACATGCACACATTCCATCTCCTGCCCTGCCAATGTCTGCTTAAATGCTGGCTGCCTGTAGTTCTGCAGTGATCCAAGGTTCCTGGGACTGTGCGGTCATGTGCCTCAAAGCAAAACCAATGTTTTTAATTCTTGTATCAACCAATGTCTGAAATGCACCATTACCACAGCTTGGTGTCTGCTGCGTACTCTCCTGAGATGCAGCAATTCTGCTTTACAGAGTCTGGTGTTATTTAGCGAGTTGCAAGCGGCTAATCTCAACAGCTAGTTCCAAGTTTGTGTAATTACCTTTTTTGCACCAGCAAGAAATGAAAAAGAAATCCTGCCCATCCCAATTGTTATCGATGCGGTCGGGAACGGCTGCAGAAGGTGGGAGGCAGGAATATGGTTATCGTTCCTGACTCGTGTTCCAGAAAATCAGTTTCTTAAACATTTCAGTGCAAAACTCATGGGATAGTGAATTCTTCACCTGAACTACTAACCCCTTGTTAGATTTCATGGTTTTCAAACGAGCCCATGGGCCTTAGGCACCGAGATTCCACTGGATTGCCACGGGGGCGAGCACCTAACTCCATTAAGCTTGTTGGAGCAGAGAATTGTCTCTTACTGTGTGTGTGTGCAGCACTTGGCCCACCGGGCAGGGCCTAGGCGCTACTGCCCTATAAATGAGAGAATCGTGGCCTGGGGGTGAAGGAAGAAATCAGCAATTACCGACACTGAGTGGTGCACTCAACCCTTCCATGCCTTTTTCTAGAGCATGTTACAAACACTAATCAAGCCTCTCTATTACCCCCATTGTAGCAATGGGGAAACTGAGGCACGATGCAGGTAACTCACTTGCCCAGGTCCCCCACAGAACCAGTGCCACGGTGCGGGGGAAAGAACCCAGGTCCCTGAGCCCTGTCCCTGGCTCTCACAACCAGACTCTCCTGCCAGCCCATTAGCGAGGGGGCAGCTGCAACCCACCATGGTTTATACAAATTAAGGACCTGATCCAAGACACGCTGGAGTCAAGGGAGAGCCCCAAGTGCATCCTCAGGCCCTGTCCTGTCCCCATGGCTCCAGCAGCCCCCAGTCTACCCATGGCTTGGGAGAGGGGTGTTTGTGTCCTCTTCCCTGAAGTCTGGCTTCGTTTCCCAGCCTCCTCTCTGTGCTGCCGGGAGAAAGCTGCGTATGTTTGCACTGACCACAGCAAGCAGGCAGGGCCAGCCCGTCGCTCCTCAGCCAGGGAGGGGCAGAGCTGGATGGGGAGCGGGGGAACGTCCGCGCTGCCCTCCAAACGGAGCACAGCACCCTAGAAATGCAGGGGAATGGCTGCAGCCGGAGCCACCTGGCGCTGCTCAACCCCCTCTGGCGCAGCCAGCAGAGCCCCACCCTGTGGGGAAAGCTCTGGTTCTGGTGCCTTGGGTTCACGGAGTCCAGAGAGCAACTAGGTTTAGGACTCAGGCATGGGGCTCCTGAAACTCCTCAGCCTCCAAACCAAACTGCCCGAGTCAGGAGACACCAACGGAGACCAGCCGAGAAGGCGTCTGCCCCAGAGCCATCCCTCTGGCTCAGGCATGGGGCAAGCTGCTGCCGTCTGGTGGGTGTGATGGGCCAGGGCATCTCTGCCCCATCCCCAGCGCATGAATAGCTCCAGTACAATAGCCCTGGGTTGCAGTCTCAGCAGAGGCCAAGGGCCGACTGGGCCATGGAGCCTGAATCTCCCGCTTGTCCCTAGAGGCGGAGGTGGATTAAGATTTACCGGAGCACTGGGCACAAAGAACATTTGGGCCCCCCACACCTGGGGGCCCCCAAATTGGCCAGGGCCCCAGGGGCCCCTGCCTAGAGGCAATGCCTCTGAACCAGGAACGAGACACAAGAGGGGATGGCACGTGGGGTGATTTGCTCCTGGCCATGCTGCTCCCGTTGTGTGGGCAGAGTGGCCAACCATCCGCCAGCCCCTTTAATGGAAACCAAGCAGAGCCTTCGATCCCTGCAATCGGCTCTCCTGTTCCTTACTAGGATTGCCTTGTTCCTAATCTCCACCATGCCCGAGAGCGGCGGCGAATTGCCGTCCAGCGAGGTCCTTCTGTGGCTCCCCTCACCTGCTGCCTGAGGCCCTCGCAGGCACGAAGGAGTGTGAGGCTAGGGCTGTTCTCTCTCCTGGGCAGCCGGGCAGCCGAGGCACAGAGTGGGATTTTGGCACCACGCTCCCATTGATTTCAGTTGGAGATAGGTGCCCTTTGGGGATCTGTGCCTACGTGACGCACGCAGGGGTCTATGGCAGAGCCGGGAACTGAGGCTAGCTCTCCTGCGTCCCAGCCCAGGGCTTCCGCCACTCGACCAACCCTCCTTTTCCATGCACGAAAAATGAAGCCAGCAGCAGTTCCCCAGTCAGATCTCCAGCTTCTCGCTGGTGTTCTGATGATCTCTTTCCCCTCTCCCCCTTTCCAGAGCGCGTGTGGCCACTGCCTGGGAAGGTGAAGCTGGACGCCGTGAGCTCGTGAATGGAAAGGAATCGGGGCCCATGGACGCGTGGGGCACGGCTGAGATTGGAGGGTTGTGGGCAGCAGCCCAGGCACTGCTCCGGCCCACAGCTGGTCATGCAGTGCTCAGGGTGTGGCTGATCTCGGCCCATGATCGTGGGAAACACCCAAGAGCAGCATGGGAGAGCGGCTGGAAGAGCCTGCGTCTCACCAGGAGAATTACGGGCTCAGATGGACAAATGGGTTTAATTGTAATTATATGGGGATTAACTAGCCATTGGTTACCTGCCTGTGATACATGTACAGCGCTCACTGAGCTCCGGTCCTGCAGTGTGTGTGTGTGTGTTATATGCTGTTTTTCCCACAGGACCCCTGCCTCATTCGGGGCACAGGACGCCCAGGGCTTGCTGAATATGGCAGCTTTCCAACCTTTCTTTTTGTCCTTCTGCTCCAGTGCATGGGCTGGCATTACTTATACCCGCCATCCAAACCCTGCTTTGAAGCCAGGCTACTCACTGCCTCTCAGGCTGGTCTGGGGCACCCCTGCAGAGCCTGAGAGCTTCACAAACATTCACTACACGCCGGGGAGCAGGGCAGGGCTATCATCGCCGTGTTGCATATGGGGAACTGAGGCCCCGAGGGATTAAAGCCAAACATGATCAGAGCCAGGATACTGGTCTTTACGGATCCCTGCTCTGGCAAGTCCTGTCTGATTCTTTTAGAAGCCTGGGAGCCGGCTCAGGTTCAAAGACTCCTCCTCTACCACAACTAGCCAGAGTTAGCAGAGCCACTTTGTTTAGCACCTTCCACCCTCCCCTCCACACTAACAGAGCTCACAGTTCATTCCACATATGGGGAAACTGAGGCACACCAAGCTGAAACAATTTCCCCAAGAGGGTGGAAGAGCCAGGAATGGAACCTAGAACCCTCGTCTTCCTCCTGCAGGAGACGGGTAACATTGGTCTGGTGGAGTTACTTGTGCTGTCATGTGGGGAGGGGTCGGACAGACCCCTGCAGTCCTGGACTTTGGGACCCGCTAGGCCATGCAGCTGAAAAGGTGCCAGAAGGAGGAGCTGGAGGAACAACTGTGTTGGTGGTTCCTCTTTATGCAGGTGGGAGCAAGCCCTGGTCTCCTGGGCCTGTGGTGTAGCGTCCTGACAGCAAGAAGCCACCCCAGGCATCCCCGCAGCAGGCAGTCCGGGGAGATCCCAGCCGGTGTGCATAGGATGCTGGCTGGAGCAGATCAAGGAGCCAGCGTTTGCAGCAGTAGGAGCTATGTCACTGCCATGCAGCACTGCCCCCGGCCGGATGGCGTCACTAGGATTTGTATAGCACCATGATTGTGTGTGACACCTTAGAGACAGGTAAGGAGACAGGGTCCTTGCTCCAAGCTTATACACACAGCACTGCAGTGAACAGAGCAGAAACCATGGGGACAGCACAACACCACTTCCAGGGGAGAGACGGCCCCAGGGGTTCACTGTGTCCTTGTCTTACCACTCTTTCCTGTAGGTCAGCGTGGGAGCAGAGGGCAGGGGCAGGCTGGGGGAGGGAAAGAGGGTTGTCTTGATGCCCTGGAATCGGGAGGGTGTTGCAAGCTTAGGAGGAAGGGTGAGTAAAGGCACAGAGTCACAAATGGAGGCGGGACTAAGATGGCTAAAGAGACAGGCAGTGGCAGGGATGGGAGGACGGGAAAGGAAAGCAGAGGGGGAAGGAGGCTTGCAAGAGGCTGAATGTGATGTGGAAAGAGTCAGGAACCCAGAGGAGGGCAGGTGCCAGTGGGCAGAGCAGTAGGGGGAGTGGACAGCGTTAGCTGCAGCCTTTGGCTAGCCTGGAAGGGGAGTGCTGAGCCGCCAGAAGGAGAGGGTGGATGAGGTTTCTCCATGGCCCGGGGAGCCAAACCATTGAGCTATCCCTGGTGTGGGGGCCAGGGCCAGCAAAGGGGAGGGAAGCAACAGGGAAGGCTCAGAACAGCCACAGCATGGCGAAGGGGCTGGAGCAGACCACAGCAAGAAAAGATGGAGCAGATCCCAGATGGTGTAAATCAGGGCAGCTCCAGTGGAGTCTGTGCAGGGGATGGCTCCACGTCCAATCTTACCACACACAGTGATCTGGGGCAGGGAATCTTTTTTCGGCTCAGCTGTTTTGCAGGAAAGCAGCGTCCTCCCAAGATGCTCAGCGCCATCAACTTCCAGCCAAATGTTCACCCATTTTTCATTGCTGTACTGACAATGTTAGTTAGTCCTGGAAACAGAAAGAAATCTGTCTGCCCTCCCCCCCCCATGTGTCCCGATATTTTGTTTCCCTCATCTGGTCACCCTATGCCCGCATGGCCCCTGTGGTTGGGGTGTCGTAGTCTTTAATTTGTTTATCCTCACAGCCACCCTATGAGGCAAGGGAGAGGTTTGATCCCCATTCCAGCTCGAATTGGGGAGAAAGATAAGCAGGGGTACGCTGCCAAGCTCCGCCCTCTTGACAGGCCAAAGTGAAACCTCACTTTCAGCAGATGACGCAGATGTTCACAGTATGTCTGTGCAGGCACAGCTCACCCTCCGTGGGATTCAGATTCACACTCCTCCGCCCTGCGAGGCTGAATTGAGGCCTAGGCACAATGGAGGCATGTGCCCAGAGCCCTGGCTCCCAGAGGTGAGGATGGCAATTGCAGCTTTTGTTAAAATAAAATGTTTGTGGCCTTCATCATTGCGAAGGAAAGCTCAAAAATGCAACCTGAGTGTAACCAATGCAACAATGTCTGCCTGAGCCTGCAGCAGAGGATGGATCAGCAGCCATTAGTGTCAGGGAGGAAGCTGTTGGTCCCACACCCACCAGCAGAGCAGACTTGGCCTTTGTTACTCTGGGGCAGAGAGGCTGGCTGCCTGGGAGAGCGGGTGATAGTGGTATGGCCCACTGGGCTCAAAGGACTTGCCTTTGGTGAAGCTCAAATACCCCCAGGGCTTAGCTCTCCCCCTCTGGTTTTCCGTTCCATGAATAGGGTGGGGCGACAAGAAGTGGTTGTATCTCCCAAACACCACCCACTACTGGCACCAAAGGAGACCATGCAGATCTGTAACCCTCCCTCTTCTTCCTTACATGCAATGAAATAGTTAACAATGCTGCCAGTCAAATGAGCATCATGGGGCATCTGGGTTAACTCCCCACACCACTGAGGGGGCAGTTCAGGCTCTCAGCAGATCCTGGCAGACATCACTGCATCAGAGACCTTTGGTGTGGCCTGATCCCCATTTGACAGGTGGGAAAGTGAGGTACAGAGACGGCAGAGGGACTCCCCAAGGTTAGGGAGATGGGTAGAGCCCCGAAGGGAACCCAGCTCTATTAACTAAGTCTCAGTCCAATGCCTTATGCACTAGCCCAGACTTCTCTGGGTTCTTGTCTGTGCAACATTTGGCAGAAAAACCCAGGAGTTCCCCTTCGAATAAACTGCACAGAATGTGGACTGTTTTTATTCTGTGTTTGTAGAGCACCAAGCTCAGTGGGGCCCTGGTCCATGACCAGGCTCTGAAGAGCGACCAGAGTACAGATAATGAACAGTAATAATAATTTAGCTCTTACTAAGGATCCAGATCTGATATAAAATCCCTACCGCCCTGTAACACTGCCAGACCAGATAATATTTCTTTACATTGCAGGCTCTGGAAAATAAATACAGAACTTTGAACTACCAACTATTGGGTCTGGAAGAGAGATCAGAGGTAGAGAACGCTCATTGTTTTACCTGGTTTTATTATTGGGAGACAGTTTCAAAGTGAAGTCTGACCCACTTTTGTCAACAGAAGAGGCCATTTGTCTGGGGCTAAAACACCACTGGAGCCAGCCAGGCAGTGAAGAGAGAGATGGCAGATAGGCTGGGTTGTGTTTCACTCCAGGACTGATTGGAATCAGACTAAAAACCAGGCGAGAGTCCATGCCCTAGATCAGCAGATCTAACACTCCCAGGTTTGGCGAAGGAAACACACGAGAGTTTGCCTTTGAGAGGAGCAATTTGGGAACTGAACAGTTTCATTTCTTTGTTTCTGGGTGCTGTTAGAAGTTACTGGTTAGGATGAAGAAAAAACATGCTCGTGTCTAAGGCACCAATCCTGCAAACATTTATGGATGCGCTTAACTTTGGAATCCACGGGACGACTCAGCTGAGCAAAGTTATGCCTCCCTGCAAGTATCTGAAGGCCTGGAGCCTGAAGCTGTGGTTTCCTTCTGCACCCGCCGAGCTTCGCTACACACCAGTTCATGCCCAGATTCAGGAAAGCACGTAAGGCTTAAACCTAGTGAACGTTTTATCTGCTGACCTTCGTGACTGTGGACATGATCGTGCTCCACTGAAACCAAGGGGGTGTGTGGTTCCATTGAATTGCAGGGGAGCAAATCAGACCCTGAAATAAGTCTGTGCTGCTTTTGACCCCGTTAGCCCTCCAGAGCCAGCACAGTTACAGGAGAGGAGGCTGGAGCCAGATCCTCCACGTACATCAGCAAAACTGGAGTTTCAATCGGTTCCATCTGTGCAAACCCACACAAGGCCGGGTCCTCCCCCGAACCCAGGCCCCAGCCCAAGCATCTACACAGTAATTGTATTGCCCCGCAGCTCAAGTCAGCAGACCTGGGCCTTGCAGTGCCTGAGGATCTAATTTGACCTTGCAGGGCTTTTACTGCTGGGGATGATTCACAGATTTCAAGGCCAGAAGGGACTACTGTGCCAGGGAGTCTCACCTCCATTGGATTGTGTTAGATCTTTCTCTGCTAGACCGAAGCACCCGCTATTAGATATTTGTTCCCCGTGTAGATACTTCTAGACTCTGATCAAGTCACCCTTACCCTTCTCTTTGTTAAGCTAAATAGATCGAGCTCATTGAGTCTATCACTATAAGGCAGGTTTTCTAGTCCTTTAATCATTCTCATGGCTCCTCTCTGACCCCTCTCCAATTTATCAACATCCTTCCTGAATTGTGGGCACCAGAACTGGACACAGGATTCCCGCAGTGGTTGCACCAGTGTCAAATACAGAGGTAAAATAACCTTTCTACTCCTATGTGAGACACTCTTAGGGTGACCAGATGTCCCGATTTTATAGGGACAGTCCTGATTTTGGGGTCTTTTTCTTATATAGGCTCCTATTACCCCCCATCCCCATCCCGATTTTTCACACTTGCTGTCTGGTCACCCTAGACACTCTTGTTTGTGCATCCTAGGATCACAGTAGCTCTTCTGGTCACAGCATCACACTAGGAGCTCATGCTCAGCTGGTTATCCACCATGACCCCCAAATCCTTTTCAGAGTCCCTGCTTCCCAGGACAGAGTCTCCCATCCTGTAGGTATGGCCTCCATTCTTTGTTCCTAGATGAACACGTTTACATTGAGCCGTATTAAAACACATATTGTTTGCTTGAACCCAGCCTACCAAATGATCCTCATTGCTCTGGATCAGTGACCTGCCCTCTTCATTATTTAACACTCCCCCAATTTTTGTCACAACCGCAAACTTTATCGGTGATGATTTTATGTTTTCTTCCAGGTCATTCATAAAAATGTTCAACACCACAGGGCCAAGAACCAAGTCCTGCAAGACTCCCACTGGAAACAGACACACTCAATGCTAGCTCTGCTTAAACTTACATTTTGGGACCTATCACTTAGCCAACTTTTAATGCAGCTAACGGGGGCCATGTAAATTTTATATCATTCTAGTTGTTTAATCAAAAATGTCCTGTGGTACCCAGTCAAATGCCTCACAGAAAAGTGAGTATAATACATCAACACTATTACCTTTATCAACCAAACTTGTAATCTCATTAACAAAAATAAATCAAAATAGTTTGAGAGGATCTGTTTTCCATGTTGTACAAGAAGTAAAGAGGCCAGCTTGACTTTCAGCTCCCAGGCTGAGTTTGCAGGGCTGGCTGGTAGGAAAGCCCTGCGTTTTACTTGCAAACTGCACAGATTTGCTCTAGGGCAGGGGTTGGCAACCTTTCAGAAGTGCTGTGCCAAGTCTTCATTTATTCACTCTCATTTAAGGTTTCGCGTGCCAGTAATACATTGTAACATTTTTAGAAGGCCTCCTTCTATAAGTCTATAATATATAACTAAACTATTGTATGTCAAGTAAATAAGGTTTTTAAAATGTTTAAGAAGCGTCATTTAAAATTAAATTCAAATGCAGAGCCCCCCGGACCCAGGCAGTGTGAGTGCCACTGAAAATCAGCTCACGTGCTGCCTTCGGCAAACGTGCCATAGGTTGCCTACCCCTGCTCTAGGGGGAGAGAGAGAGAAAAAAAGTCACCCTGGACCCTCCAGGCTGTTTTTGCAGTGTGGCTTTGCAAAGAAGTACACCACGTTTGGGAGGGGTGGGGCTGGGGGTGAGGGTGTTTCTCTAGAACTGCACTTGAAGTGGAACTGGCCTAATGGATGTCATCTTTTTTTTCTGTAAGCATTTGCTCAGATTGACTGCCCTGGCCAATGTTCTTGTGAGAACTGTCCCCCTGCCCCAAGACACCCAGCAAGCCTGGGTGTCCTCTTGACGAGTGCCAGAGACTCCATGAATTCCACTACAGACTTCGCTATCACAATTGATTTTACAGAGAAGACGCCCAGATACCATGGAGATGGGCTGCAGCATAAACCCCTGAGAATGGCAAGGTTTTTTCATTGATGAATCTTCACCACTGACCCTTCTACAACCTCCCTGCCCCCTCTCCTCGGCAAAACAGACTGCTAAAGGCACAGCGAGACCTGCATTGGAGGCTACATAAAAGGGTTCAGCAGACAACATCAGTTGATTCTATTTTAATGAGAACACCCGTCAGGGAGAGTCGGGGGCAGGGTGGCATGGTGAGTCAAGTGTGCGGCTTCTTTCAAGAAGCTGCTCGGGGTGTTGATATTTCAAGACAGAGTGAGAGACACAAACCTGCAGTCCTTCTGGAGGAACTGCTGCAAATACAGTAAGTTGACCATGTTCGAGGAGAAGAACCCCAGTTTTACCAACAGTTTTGACAGCAATTTGCACATTTATTTCAGGTGATTTTGCACTACACCCCCGGCCCCCCGTGTCCCCATTACAGTCTGGGTGATGAGTTGCACTTATGAACTGTGCAAAAAGCTGTAACATCCTAACTTGCAAATACGGTTGTGAGAGAATATTTCTTTATACATTTATACTGGATCCGGGGACGCTAAGCATTTCAATTTACATTGGTACACCAGTTCAGATGGAATGGCTCAAATAAAACAAATATATATATAGATCTATTTTATATATACAAATATATAATATATATATATCTATGCAGACAGATATATATATATATATCTTTCAAAAGGATAAAGGTTAAATTTGTCTTTGCATGCACCACCAAAACCTCTGCTCCACACCACCCAAACAAAAGAGTTATCTAAGGCCCAGCGCCGAGTAAACTGTAATCAGGTCCCTGGTAACATGTCCCTGTCGTCAGTTTCGCCCTCCCCTCGCAGACACTGATGCAGGAATATGTGACACACGGTGGGGGGAGATGAGGAAGTTGCGCTGGTGAGCAGTGAGCTGGAAAGGCAAGGTCACCCAGGCCACATCTCACCTTCTAAAGCATGGTTAGGGGGACACAACATGAGCACATTATTGCTATTCAAAGCATGGCCTTGCTCTCCAGCACAAACTGGCACCGTTCACGCCAACGGGGCCCACGCCTCCCTTGCCAATGGTAGGTGTGTCCATGCCGCTCCCAACTGCCTAACGTGATCCCAAGAGGAACAGTCACACTTGGTTCCTCGCCAAATCCCCGGCTGCGGCTCAGACAGGGAGTCGTTTCCGGCCAACAAGGAGTCAAGCCAACAAAGAAACAAGGGAAGGAAAAAAGCCAGGGTGAGGTATTTGGGAATGATGAGACATGGTTCAGATCCCACTGGGGCAAACACTCTCCTGGAGACCACCCTGTAGGTCTCACCCTAAAGCGGTCAGTTTGGCAGACAGTCTGGAAAACAACAGGCATTTAAGGGTTAAAGAGGACACCTCTTCCATGGCAGCCTTCCTGTAGGGGACGGAGACAGCATGGGCACTGACAGCACAGCAGTGCAGCTGGAAAAGCAATGGGCCACCGGGCGAGGATTTCACCAGCTACCAGGCAAGGGGACGCTGGTGGAACCCAACGAGCCAAACCCACCGGGCACCGTTACTACAGTGACCACCCTGCCTCCCTCCCCCAAGCCGAAGAGCAATGGGGAATGGGAATTTGGGGGGCGGGGATGGGGGTTGGGGTTATTTTTGGAACAGGGCTGAAAGCTTGAAAGGGGGATACTTAGGCACCAAGTCAAAAGGCAAAGTTTGGATAAGGCGAAACAAACTGATGGAAATAAATAACCAAAACTGCCCCAGAAATGCATTTTGCCATGGAGACAGATTGTCCCCGTTTGCTGCAAATCACACATGTCCATCCAGCCAGCTCACGCCGGTAGCTGGCGAATGGAGCCCTGACTGAGAGCAAGCCCTGCCATGGCAAGGTCTCTGGACCATAGTGGTTATGGGATCACATGTATGTACAAGAGAGTCAATGGGGGAAGGGGACGCTATGTCATAGGGCGGTGCTTTCCGAATCTTCCTCTTCCGAATCGACTTTCCCTGCCACGGAATGTCTCTGGGTTTGTTCCAGCGGATCTCGGTGGAGTGCAGGATCAACCTCAACGTGTATAGAAGGGACATCAAAGTGGACGAGATCTGCAATCGGGCACAGAAAGGCAGAGGTAAGAGGCTGCTCCGGGCGAACCCGCGCTAAGACGGACAGATGAGATCAGCAAAAAGTAGCTTGGGAGGCGCTGCTTTTTCTCAGCGGCAAAAACGTTTCTCAGGCTAGTACATTGTTAATGTCAGAGAACAGGGATGTCATCATAAAGTCTAGGTTTGCACCTTCTATCGTTTTCACTTCCTCTCCTGAAGCTTGGGTGTCTCCATTGCAGCAGCCAGCCTCTCTCTCATTCTTGTCACTATCACTACGGCCCTGCTAGGACTCAGCACAAGTGCCGAGCCCAGAGTCTTTCCAAAACACGGGGCAGAAACTGGCACCTTCTACTGCCCCCTTGTTTTTGTTTCGGGCCCTTACTCTTTGCAGACTCGCCTTAGCCCCTTTCAATCCTTCCCCATCG